CACAAAAACTTATCATGCTACTTTGTTTTACACTTTATGATTTTTCATCTCCTTGTTCACCAACACTAGCTTTTCCAGTAACTGTTCATGTGTGTTTATCGATTTAGGATATGGTGTATTGTGTAATACTATTTTATTACTACCCATAGTTCACACTGCTTAAAATACTAAACATTTAAGTTACTCTTCACAGAAACATGGAATTTTTAATATTTTAATGTATTATCTTTATGTGAGAATGCACCTAAAGCAATTTAGAGATGAAAATTCATTCTCTTAGTATCTACAGAAAAATACGTCTTAGCAAACTCCCTCAATAACCCACCCCACTGTTGATTATGATCTCTTCATTAAATCCTTACAATGTGCCCATTTCCTCTTGCTTTATCCTAGCACAGCAGAAAACTGATATTAGCATATTCTAGGCATAAACCTTTTCTTCTCCAAGTGAAATAATCTTTCAATCTTCATTTTAAACCTTTCATTCATCAGAATTTCCCACTACTTTTAGATTCTCTATTTTTTCCTCAAAAGAAATAGAAATAAACTACCCTAAAACGGAAAAGTTTTAACAAAAATTGGGCTGGTGCTAAATGAAACTATGGTAGTGATAAGCTGATGTGCCTATTCTTGATTAGTGTGTGCTTCTCTGCCACATTGCCTGTTGCCATCAGGTTGACCCTATAAGACAAAGTAGAATTGACTCATGGTTTCCATGGTATCGCTTACATCATTCCTATAACTAACGTCTTATTTTCCAACTACTGGTCCTTCTTTGTTTCTAACATTCATATTACAGTCACCACTAATTATAATGCATCTTGATCGCATGTTTGATCTTTCAGACTGCAGAAGTTAGTAAAAAATATCTTTAGTTTCTTCATTTTTGGCATTAGTGTTTGGTACATAAATTTAAATAAGAAGAAACTCCCAACCAAAAGAAGTCCAGGCCCAAACATTCAGGGAATAGTTGTCACCAATTCTACTCAAATTATTCCAGAATATAGAAGAGGGCTGAAAACTTCTTAATACTTTTTATGAAGCAAGCATTACCCTCATCCCAAAACCAGGGAAGGACATCACTAAGAATCAAAACTACAGACCAATATCCCTCATGAACATAGA